GTGCGTCCTTATGCACCAATTCTATTTTTAGCTTTCTTCCCGATGCTCCTATCTTCAAGGGTCGTCTCTCCTCGGAGGAGGATAAAGTACTCTACATTCTTCAGGACGTAGTTTCTTTACTCATTGAAGGGCTGGGGACACGTGTAACCCTAATCAGATCCTTCTTCATTCCATTGAGATCTGGCGTAAGTTTTCCATCCTCGTAACTTCGATTTTCTAGAAACAACTGCCTTCCATTGGCCTGCGTCTGAATCCCTCGTTGGCACACAGTCTGATCATCCGTGGGCCGCCCAGTGGGACAGAAGGTGGCAAAACTTTTAGGCAATTCTGGGGCAGTAAATCTGAGCTTCGACACGTCGATGGAGACCTGTTTGAGTGTGTAGTGTGGGAATCTTCTCAAAATGTCACTTTGCAAATCGTCGACCATCTCCTTGCCCGGTACGTTGTGTATATGAAATAGTCCAGTTCTCAGCCCGATGTGCGCTGGCCTGAACACGATGTTGAGTTGGCAAAACTGAGTGCTATTTACGTATGCGTCAGAATATGGCTTTTGTTGCTGTCAATCCTCCTAAAACCTCCTGAAAATCCTCTATTAGGCATGAACTCTCATTCCCGGAGTCGAGTTTTCCCTCAGGTTTCAATTGTGTCCTGGTGAAAAATGGATTCGTTATTTCTAATTGGCGCGCCGTTGCTTTGTGGTGGACGGTTTGTTAGCATTGATAACCTCTGGTGGAACATACAAACATGAAAAACGCTTGCAGTGTTTTGACTGGACTCCCCCTTTTCTGTCTAAACGCCTGTGTGGAAACTAGTTGTTAAATTTCCGTTCTAGCTGTATTCCTGGTCGTGAATCAATTGGACACGGGATAGGAACCCTCCCCGTGCTACGGGTGACCTTGCGCGAAGTTTTGGTTACCTCCCAAAATTAAGTTTTATGGGTGAAATAACTTTAAAATCACTTTCAAACTACTAGCCCCTCCAGGCCTTTCCCGATGCTGGCGACAGAAATTGTGAGATTTACTGGTTGGACATGGGAATAGGAGCCCCTCCCCCCAGCATATAGATCAACATGAGCTACAATCCAGGGTGAGTACGGTTGAAGTTAAGGTTAGAGTCGAGCTTAATGTTTGGGTCAATGTCGAGGTTTGGGAACGGGAGTAGGCACCCTTCCTGAAATTTGGCGCAAGGTCACCCGTGAGCTCCGTAAGAGCGATCGGTGAGCGCCCCTCTACCATTGTATATTCCCGATTGAAACCGACAGGACAACGGGCCCGTGGCCCAGTGGTTAGGGGCGTTGGACTTATAACTAACAGGTCGCGAGTTCGAGCCCCGGGTGTTCCACACTTCGGGGTTGGGTATGACTGGCTGACGCCGGCTACTAATATCGGCCTTCTTGAAGTAGTAAATGAGAAATAGAATCAATGTCATACGAGAAATTGGATGCAAATCTGGCCATATCTTCCAAGACATATGCGACCACCTTTAGGAAAACTTTTGAGATGAGACAGAAGTTCACGCTACCCATGTATCAGCCTTTTCCAGGGGTATTTGTGCAAGTATCTGAGGTGGTTCACCAGTAAACCCCTGTGTGTTTATATTTAGGCAGTAAGGTAGGCCAATGCTTCACACAAGCCAGCACTGGGCTAGACACGGGAATAGGTACTCCCTTGGAGTTCGGTGCAAGGTCACCCGTAACACGGGGAGGGGTTCCCGTAATAGCTTTTTACGTCTTCAATCAGTCATGCCAAAACCTCGTGTTGTTATTTGCTTTCTCAGACCCATTGACATCTCGTTGCGAACACAGGTGAAAGCCACATATTGACACTGCCCACCCCTCATTCCCTTTCTTTCAAGACACTTTAAGTTGGGGGATCAAAAAGCCGCTCGGAACTGGTATCAAGTGACCTCGGATCGCCTTAACAGCCTTTTGTCTTCCTTCGCTCCTGCACATACCGCCGTCGAGTTTCCCCCTCGGGCTAGTTGCCTGCATCTCATCCGCACTGTGGATAGACTGAATTCAGTCCTACAGGAACTCAACAGCCATTTACCCCTTAACATTGTTGGTGTCCAAGCAATCTCTTCAGAGTTTCGTGATACCTCCGTGTTTCCTCCTATCCTGACCGTTCCTCGTAGACTGCGTAAGAGGGCACGTGAGAAGAAGCTAAAGACGTTCTCCTGGAAGGATGTGCGTCACACTCTGCAACCCATATACGGTACGTTGGATTTGGCCTTCGTATTTGCCTTTTTGCTAGTCCGGAAAAGGTCAATTCGTCGTAGCATTGACCTTCCCTGCGAGTCGCCCGATCCGCCCATTAGACGTCCACTCTCACCATGCCGCAACCGGTACATTACTTAAGCTGACACGATTTGGATTTCCAAACAACTGGAGTACAGCCCCGGCAGAAGATCTTATTTCCTAGCCATTCCTGTTAGGGGTTAGGTTTAGGGGCTCGGGTTAGGGGTTAAGGTTTGGGGTTAGGCTGGGGCTTGTTTGCTGCAGGTATGGCTACGAAATAAGATCCGACCGAAGTAATTCCTGAATAGACATCTGTAAAAGCGTATCCGTTAGTGTCCTGAAAGACCACTTCATAGGCCTTCTAGACAGACCTCCAAAATAAGATTTGCCGGACAATGTAGGTTTTTCTTGGCTGAAGACGCTCTTTTCTGGGCTTCTCAACTCAACCATGCCTATCTAACCACGAACATATCTCTAACACGGGAATTTGGGAAATACTAGTAGCTCCTCGAAGTTTTTCGGCTGAGTGCAGAGCCTTGCCGAGTCATCTGTCCGTGGTGTTCATTTATCAAAACTTCCGCGCAGTCGTTGCCTTGTTTCTAAACAGCGTCTTCCACATTTTTGCGTAATTTTTAATTGGGAGCCATTGGGCATGCTTTCTCACACCCTGAAAATCTTAATTCAGCTACTCGAAAGGTCAGACCTCCAGTAAACCTTTCCTGATGAACGCCTCTTCTTTTGATCTACTCTTTTCCCAGATTCTATGACCACTGTTATCGAACCCGATCGTGATAGCTTACTTGCGTCGGCAGAGGTCGGAAGGCATAGAATTGTGAGGCTTAGGGGACTTTAGTGGAGGGAGTCAAGAGGTATTCTCGCTTCTACCTTGTAACCCTTTTCCTGAGTAGGCCGGACTGTTCACGGGATGATGATCATTCTCCAACTACTGCGAAGATGGACAGTCTCCGGTGGTCGCACGTTTCTACCTCAGACCCTCATTTCTTCCGAAAACCTAAGTGGTCTATGCTTCCAAAAGACAATTTGGCGAGCATACGTCTGCTTTAGACAAATTCACTTCAGGCCTGTGCATTTATTATTGCTATTGAAATAATGAATAAAAAAACGCGGACAAGTGGATAATTATGCTGAAGTTCGGGTTTGGGGGGGAGGGGGTAGGGAGAGAGTGAAACACCAAAATTCCAGTCAGTGTCAGGGTGATGGTGGGCACTGGGAAGGGTAATTATATGCAGGTGGCTAGCTTGGTGTCTTGGGTCCATGGTAGCTGTAGGATCTGTGTAAAGTTCTGTTTGCGTAACCTGACTGCACCCACCTCTGCCGTAGCCAACAGACTCTGCCAAATTAGTCTTGGATATCTTGACCGGACCTTGTACATCGTTGGGAACTTCTTGTACTTGATACGGCTGCGATCATGCCTGATCTAGCCGGCCTCGATGATGTCCCGAATTGTACCTCTCCACGCGTGACGATCCGCAGCCGCAGATCTAGACAGTTCAACCCATTCCCTTCGCCAACGACGGAGACCGAATACCGAAGGTCCAAGAACCACCTCCATGTCTTGACGGACAGTGTCGAGCCAGGTTTTGAACTGACCCCCTCTTCGACGCCTCCAATTGG